ATTTTACTTGCAAAGAGCTGTAACTTTCATGCTATCAAAACAGGGTCAATTCAATGAAGAACATATTGAATAATTAAAAAAGCTACAGCTCAACAGCATTTAACCTTAGATTATTAGCAACAAACATTTACTTGCCTATGGAAACATTTAAAAAATGTTTCAGAGATGTATACAGACTTCTAACTTAGTTCTCTCATCTCTTTAAGGGCAAGTCTTTGTCATGACCTAGGTATTTTATATTTTAACTCCTTCTTTGTTAAGTTATTGTTTATTTTGTACATAGATACAGCACGAGAAGGAGGATTCAGGTAAATGAGATAGGCACATCCAAACTTGTCAAACAAGTAATACTGCCCAGTTTCCATAAACCATTCAGAGTTTTAAAAACATTGGAGCAAAAGTACAAATTGAAATTACAGTCCAGATTTGCAATCAATTCAAAGATACTCCTCCTACTGGAACTTTTTCAGGGTCTTCTAAGAACAAATCTAAAAACCTAGCATAGTATTAACAATCTAGTTATAGTGTAGGGAGTAAGTTTTAAAATAATCCTTCCACACCACACCAGGGTTTGTATAAAAGTATTAAATACTAGAGGAAGGGACAGCACTATTGAGATATACCTTCTGTAAGAAATATGAAAAATATACTTGTTTTTCATTTAAACGGCAAAGTGAAAATTTCAACTAATTATTATGCATTGTTTACAGATACCCAATAAGTAACAAACTATTACTTACAAAAAGCATTACTTACATAAAGCTTTTCTACAGATCTTCATCTTACATTTTTAAAACATTTTCCAGGAGGGCAAACAAAACAATTAGAAATACATGTTACATTACAAAGTGGAAAAATTAAAAGGAAAGGGGGATATGAGAACTGAACAGAAACTAAAATTTTCTGAAACACTAGGCACCCTTGTGTTCTTTATTTAAGAACTAAAACAGCCACATTACACAATGCAACGTGATTTAACAATGACGTCATTTACCGAAAGCCACTGGAATGAATAAATAGGAGCAACTGAAAAGGTCTGAAGACAGTCTTTTCAGATCGATCAAGACACCTAAGCTTTAAAGGAGAGTTTTTCTATTTAAAGTCATTTAAAAAGCACTAACATCACCTTAAGAAACAAATATAATATTTGATAAAGAAGGCAAATAACAGAAATGTATTTGATAAATTTTATTTTAAAACAGGAAATTCTCTCGTATGACTTTTTGCACTAGAATAATTCTGAACACATTTAAATCATCTAAACCTACTTACCACTAATGTTCAAATGCACCAATCTAAAATACAAGTTTTTAACAAATTAGGTTTTAGCAATCTGACCCGAAGTTTAGTGACACTGTTGGCAAACCAACTCTGGTATCACATTCAACTTAACTTCTAAGAGGAGACATTTTCCTGACCCCGATAAAACCAAACAGATGTGAAATTTTTATTTTTAGTGCCTGAAATTTGCTTCTTGAGTGAATTATAGCCATCAAGGAAATGTGTTCTACTCTCCTGCCAAAGCCCTGTCCTGCACTCTTTATTAGGCAGAACTCCCACGAAGTCACAAACGCAGTCTTTCCAAGTGGCCCCCACTCAACCTGGGGTAAGTTTTCAGGATTTACCCCTTTGCTGGGGGGCAGCTGGGGGACAGGGGACCGGGGAGGAACAGTACCCTGAAGCTTTAAACCAAAAAAAACAAAAGCAAGATATATGACTACAAAATGAGAGAAAAGGGTGCTCATAAAGGGGAAAGGGTATGGGGGGGGGGGGATGCTGCTGATAAAATAAAGCAAAAACTAAGAGCCCATAGATATTTCACTGTTTCGAAAATAAACAAGTTTACTGGGTGGTCCTTTCCTCACTACCACCCACCAGAGGAAGAGCCATGAAAAACACAGGAATACAGAAGTGGCTGGCTTGTTTCTAAGTTTGTGCCTTTGCCTGTGTATTCAGCAAACAGAAGTAAACAAGAGTTAAAGTCAACAGGAGAGCTTAGAAATTTTTTTTAAAGATTAAAAAAAATAATAAAAGTAAACATACCAAGTGAATGCCATCGGAGCTTCAGTCTTTCACAACCATGTCCCACTTTGTAGGTACTATCTATCTATTCTAATGTCAAGAGGTTGAGTTTTTCTAGTAAAATTATAGTAAAATAACTATATTTTACTAGAAAAGAGAGTAAAATGAGACACTTTGTAGCAGCCAAGCAACAGCTGAACAGCAGTAAACCTCAAGAACATAATTTTATTATCTTTCATTTAGAATGAAGTCAGATCAATTGAAGGGGGAAAAAAAATGTTACACAAGTATGACTAACCAGAAAGGAGGAAACCTGTGTCTTCAGAAACCACTATTAATGAAGCAAACAACCTCAACTCTCACAAAATGGCCTTTCAGTGCCTCCTCCTCGTTTAGTGAATGTCAAGCTGCTGCTACCTTACAAAAAGGCATGCATTTTCTTGAACTCAGAGACCATCAATAAACAGCTAGGTAGCCCTATCCTATGACATATTAAATGGCAGACTTCCCCAGAGCATGATTTAGCAATGCGAGTGCCTCGTAACTATCCCTTAGAGCTTAAGTTATAAATCTTTTAAAAATTGCAAGGATCCAAATTATTATTAATAGGAACAACCCCACAGCTTTGTTTTCCTTTGAAGAAAAGCAAACTGCTGGATACAACCTCAGAGCAAAGAGAAAACAAACATGCTAATGTAGATTAGCCAGATAGTATATAAATTTCCAGGTTGTTAATTTCAGTTTCTATTAAAATTTCCTCATAGTTTTTTAGCCAATAAAACACTTGCCAGATCTAAAACATTAAATTTCAAAGAAGCAAAGATACACATTTTTAACAATCTAAAGGATTTCTTAAGTCCTGACTAACAGGTAATGAAATGCCCTAGACTAGAACTAACCACGAGCTCAAGCTCTGGCTGTAGTCTCATCACTTAAGTGCTTTTTAGTATCTCAATGTCCTCATCAAGAAAATAAAGCAGTTCACTAGATGATTTCTTAGGTCTTTTCCAGCTCTAACTTTCTAGTCTAAGATCACTAAGAAACTTACTGTCTTGTTAAAGCTCAAAATGTAGTCATTTTAAACACACCACAAGAATGTAAGGAAGTTTGGGAACTTGACTCCCCCAGATTTTCCAAAACTGCACAAGGCAATATGGCTGCCTATTTGTTATCCTCACTTACGTAAGAATCAGTCTAAATGGAATGAAAATGCTATAATAAAAAGTAAACAATTCATATGCTCACATATATTTCAATAGAACCAGAAGTTCAATGGTATTAAACTACTTCTCATCATAATTTTTATGTATCACACCAGACTATAAAAATGTGTATGTATCCTTTTATCATGTTTTAGTAAAGATTAGCTACCTTACAATGAAATTTAAAATGATAAATTCTAAAAAAGACTGTCACCTTTTTAAATAGATATGGTTTAAATTTCAAATTAACCAACTGTAACACTTAGTTCAAAGTCAATGACTGAAGCCTGGGCCAGGTATCTCAGTTGGTTAGATTGTGCCCAATAAATACTCCAACACTGCGGGTTTGATCCCTGATCAGGGCACATACAAGAATCAACCAATGAATGCATAAATAAATGGAACAAAGTAAGTTTCCCTCTTCCTCCCTCCCTCCAAAAAAAAAAAAAAAAAGTGTGAATGACTGAATATTGTGGTTAACTGATTCACTCCTCCACCACTTTTTTTCCCTTCCATGTTCTCCTTTTTCCTAACTCTTCTCAACATCACCTCCCACTCACTCCATTCCAGGCCTCACTGCTTTTCTCTCCACTCCTTTCTCAACCATACACTGCTTTCAAAGCAGTCTAGGACATGATTCTTTTATTTAAGAAGTTATCAGAATCACCTAGGAAGTTTATAAGGGAATTGGATGAACTTTTAAGCTAACTAGGAGTTAAAAGAATTAAACCTTGAATAACCAGCTTACTCAGAGTAGAATATTCTGGTTAACTGAAGACTAACCAGAGAATTTTTTTTTTTTAATCCCTTCTGAATCAGTTATATCATGTTTCCCCTCACTTAGGAGGTACAGTTCTTCATGAAAAATATCTGATGACTTAATAACTGTCCTATAGCCCTAACTGAGGGGCCTCAGTGGGTTGGGTATCATTCTGCAAACCAAAAAGTTATTGGTTCAATTCCCAATCAGGCACATGCCTGTGCTGCTGGCCTGGACTCTGGTTGGGGATGTGAGAGAGGCAACCAATGGATGTTTCTCTCACACATCAATGTTTCTTCTCCCTTCTCCTTCCCTTCCCCTCTCTATAAACAAACAAACAAACTATCCTGTGAATAGGTAAAGTTTATAATCAATTCTTATCGTAGTATAAGTGAACCCTACAAGCCAAATAAAGTCCTCAGGCTAAGGATGCTTTTACTTTTTAGAAAGGGTTGTAAAAAACCACCACCACCACCAAAAAATATGTGACTGAGTTCACATGTAGCACACTAGACCTAAAATATATGCTATCAGACCCTTTACAGAAAAAGTTTGCCAAGGCCCTATATGGGTAGCTCTCGGTTGGCTAGAGCATCATCCCGATACGCCAGCACTGTGGGTTCAATCCCTGGTCAGGGAACATACAAGAATCAACCATTTAAAGCATAAATAAGTGGAAAAACGAATCAGTGCTTTTCTCTCTCTTTCTAAAATAAGCTAAAAAAAAAAAAGGGTTGGTGACCCTTGGTCTGTAATGCTAAAGGCACTGGAAGTACAGAGACCCCAGGGACATTGTTCTTAGAAGAAAGTGCTCCTTTCTCACATCAGGTTAACTGGGAAAAAAGTTTCCATTAAATTGGTTCCAAATGACTTAAATAGAATCATTACTATTTCTCTAATTGACTTGCCTCAAGAAGTGTTACCCCCAGAAGGTCTATTCCCTTCTTCCAAATGAACAATTTCAGCTGAGGTGCTAGCTGACTCTGGAAATAAAAGCAAAATACTAGAAGCCTTACCTGGGGCATTTGCTATAGCCAATGGCAGGCTTGGAAGCTGGTGCACCTGGATTCCTGAAGCACCCAAAGCACTGAGGTTAATAGTCTGGAGGCCAGGCATGGAGGAGAGTTGAGCAGCATTCACAGTGACTGTGCCCGCAGGAATAGAGGCAGCTGAGGCAATGGGTGTAAGGGTGGTATTGCTGCTGCTGGTCTGACCCAGGGAAACACCCTGCATTGGGGCCAAGGTGATTGTCTGGGCCTGCGGGTTCTGAACTTGGAGGTTCTGCAGCTGAAGAGTCTGCCAACTGACCTGTCCATTGGGCCCCACTGTTGGTGTCCGGATGATGATGGGGCCAGAGTTTGGAACAGCCTGAAGCTGGAGATTCTGGAGGGTTTCCTGGGAAATAGCTTGAGTTGTAAAAGTCTGCCCTGACAATGGTGCTGCTTGAAGGGCCTGGAGGGTCTGTCCTCCTTGAACTAGCTGAGGCTGGATTAGAATTTGTTGTTGCTGCTGTGATTGCTGGTTTTGCTCTCCCTCTTTTTGCTGACTCGCTTGCAGTGAGCCTCCAGATGTCTGGTTCTGCTGGATGTTCAGAGCATCCGAACCCTGCAGCCCACTAACCCTCTGGGGTGTCTGGCCTTGAGAGTTGGTCCCTGCTGATCCGCTGGTGGTAAAGTTCATAATTCCCATGTTGCTGGTGGTAGTAGTTGTTGAATAGCTATTGGCATTGGTGAAAAAGGAGCTGGAACTGGCTTGTGATACCAAACTGGCAGAACTGATGGCAGTCCCTGAGGTGACGGGCTGTGAACCACTTTCCTGGGACCCAGAGCTGCTGATCGTGACTGCCTGAGAGCTAGGAGTCAAGGTAGCTGCAGAAACACTGTTAACAGGTAGCAAAGTGATATTCCCATTTAGGGCCACTGGTACATTGGTCACATACTGAGTCTGTCCTGACAGGACATTATTAGCCAGGCCTTGGAGGGGGACAGCCTGCTGGAGTAGATTTGGCATAGCAGCAATGATGTTGCCTCCACTTCCTCGATTTGTGATGATCTGTTGGTTTGCACCTGGTATGATCTGTATTTGACCAGAACCATCCTGCTGCACTTGGGCCCCAGTGGCAGCAAATTGCAGCTGTTGCCCATCAACGGTCTGGAACTGTGGGATTACTTGATACTGAATATTAGGCATCACACCAGGTAGCCCTGTCAGGACTTGCTGGTTCTGTAAATTGGAGGTGGCAGCCACAACATACTGCCCACCAGAGACGGTACGATTCTTGGAAGACTCGCTGCCATTGGTACTGCTGCCACTCTGTTCCTTTGAGGTAGGAGTAGCCCCAGAGGAGGAAGAGATGATCTGCCAGCCATTGGCACCCTGTGAGAGTTGTGCAGCTGTGAGGTCCAGCTCACTTGTGCCCCCTGACTGGCTTGGGCCCTGGGAGTTGTTGCTGTTTTCATTGGGTGATTCAATTCTGCTGCAAGTTGCTGCCAACAGAGCCAAAGGAGATGGCTGGGATTCCTGGCCAAAATATGAGAAGAAAAGAATTAGTTTAGTGACATCCAGCTGCCAGTCTAGGGGTCAGTATACAACAAATAAACAGCAAAACAAAGCATACAAATAAAGAATAAAACAAACAAAAGGCTGAACTATACTGCTGAAATTCTCCTACCTGGGGTATCTTCAAGTCACTTGTCTCTCTGTACTTACTTCCCTATCTATAAAATGGTTAGCCCCTTTCTAAAACTTATTCTGTGAAAAGACAACCATCCTCTCAACACCTTCCCCAGTCTGTCCTAATCATTACTTACCTGCCCTCCTCCTCCTCCTCCTCCTCCTCCTCCACTGCTGCTGCTACTGCCTGCGCTGCTGCTGCGAGCCTGAGAAAAGGCACCACCACCATTACCATTGCCCCCATTATTGCCACCAACTCCTTTCTCACTCTTCACCACAGCCGTCATTTCATCCATGGAGTGATCTTGGTCTAAAGAAAATTAAAAAATAAAGAATTTAAAGTTGGTGGAAGAAAAAGGGTAAAGTGAGGAAAGGTAAAAGAAGTTATAACAAAACAGACATGACTAACAGGAAGGTGAAAGGCGCCAGTGGAGGTGGGGGGAATGGATGGGGGAGAAGGGACAGTTGTAGAACGTGTAGGACACGAACTAGGCTCAGTGATGCCAAAACTGGGCCTCAGTTCTCCTTTGCACCAACTTAAACTCATAAAACATGGAAAAGATGCTTTTGGTACAGGAAACATTAAAGGCAGTGGCCATATTGAAAAAGTTTAAAAGTAAGAAAAAGTATTGGGGGGGGGAAGGACTAAGTAAGGCAAAAAAACATGTGGGAGGACAGAGAGCTTGCTAAAGTTAGGGTCAAAGAAGATGGAGAAAGAGAAAATTGCAAATGTAAAAAGTAACAAGAAATAAGGGGTAGGACGAAAAAGAGATAAAAAGTATGAGTGGGGAAACATTTGCGAATACTAGTTAAGGAGCAAAAGGGGTCCAGGGATTAGAAATCAGGTTTCCGGGCGGACTTGAGGGCGGACCCTAGAGGGAAAGGGCGGTTTCGGGGTGAGGGGCGTGGAAAGGGCGGGACGGTAGGGGGGAGGGGAAACTTAGGAACAGGCGGGGGAGTGGGGGGAGCGGAGGGCCCTGAGGCAGGCAGCGACCAGAGGGCGGACCAGGGAGGCGGTTGGTCCGGGCGGGGCCTGCACTGCTCGGGCCGCCCCCGTGGCTCCAGCCCCCGGCGGGAGGAGCCTCAGGCGGGCGGCGGAGTAGTGGGGGGTAAGGCCCGTCCCCCCGTGGCCGGGGCGGGCAGGGGGCGGGAGAGGCCACTCTGCCCCCTCCCCCGGGGCGGGCGGCCCATCCCCCTCCTCCTCGGAGGCCCCGCCACTGCCCCTTCTCCCTCCCTTCCCTCCGCCCCGGGCGGGACCAAGGCCACCGCCGCCGCCTCCCGCCCGCCCCCCCTCACGGCGGGGACCGCCCGGTCGGCCCTCGCGCGCGCCCCCTCATTCTCTACCACCCCTAAGCTTGGAGTGGACTCATCCTTACCGCTCATGGTGGCAGCTGAGGGACGAGCTCAAGGGGGTCCTGTCCGGGGGGGTTGGGGGGGGCCCGGAAAAACGCGGACGCTGACGAGGCAAGCGAACCCGGACCGGACAGGGAGGGGGGGGTAAGGAGGAGGGAGCAGCGCGCCACAAGCCCGGCCTAGACCCCGCCCCTTCGCTGCTGCCCCGCCCAATGAGGGAGGGAGAAAGGAGGGACTTGCAGAAGAAAGGCGGTCAGGTAACCCAATGGCAAGACTCGCTTGCTCTCTTAGGCGTGTAAGACAAAGTTGGGTGCCCGGTGTCCGCCCTAAAAGGCCGCCTTCTCAGTTTGAAAGCCCAATGAAAGCCGCAGGAAGTGAAAGTGGGCGAGGCTAAAAGTGATAGGCTTGGGGGAAAACCAGTCAACCGCCAGGCGGGCTCCATGAGCAGTAGGGATAGGAAGAGCTTTGATTGGAATGACACAACAACGACCAACCAGAACCCGGGACGTGCCTGAGCAAAGTCCTGGTGGGAGGAAGAGATAAGAAGTAGGCAGGAATGGGCTGATCAAAACCAATTAGAAATCAGGCGGGCAGCCAGGAAAGTTATGATTGGATTAACACTGAAAAGTGACACGATAAGACGCAAATTGACGGGAACTAAAAGCCAATTAAACGCCGAATGAACTTTGAGGGCGGGAGTTCAGAGTAGGCGGAGGAGAATTGGCGTCTTTATCAGTCACTCAGTCCAATGAGGGGGCGCAGGAAGCTAGACACCGCCTCCATCTTGGCCAATGGGCGTTACTAACACTGCCTGTTACGGGGAGGGAACAGGGCTGTGCCAAGAGAAGTCCGACGCCATATTGGCTCTCCGCAGGGGACGTCTTTACGGTGACTAAGTAGTACGCTGCTCTGGAGCCCCCCAACTCAACAAGTATCAGAACCAAGAAACTTGGCACGACGTTATGCCTACCCACCAGGGCTCGTTTGAGTCTTCGTTTAAGGGTGTTTAATAGTCCTTCTCAAGTCTCACCCCTTCCGGGCTGGGCCGAGAGGCAGGCGAATGCCTCTGAACGTGGGAGGAAACCCGGGGCGGGGCGGGGGCAAGGGGCGGGTGCAGGCGCGACAAAGTCCGCCTCAGCGCTCACACCATCAGTCAATACTGAGCTGACCAATTTGCAAAGTCTTTGTGAGACTCTAGCAAACGCCATTTTTTAGAATTTTCCCCAAAGGAGCTGACCACTTAACCCAGGGCGGGTTAACTTTTCAAGAGCTTGTTTTAGAGGCTAAAGTGCATTGGAGAACTTCCCTGAGTCAAGGCCCTAAAGCTACTTACTCCCTCCCACACTTAACTGTAAATACCGTTTATGCATAAAACAAGATATTAGGATAGAGTTCCTGCTTTTTGCCAACTACGAAGGTTAAAGGAGATAAGCCCCTGCCCCACCCCGCGGTCCGCTCCAGGTACTGGGATTTCAGGCCCCTAGTTCTGCCTCTCCTTTATTCCTGTTTTGATACCAGCGGCCTGGGTAGCTTGTCAATGATACGATGAGATCATTCTCTTTAGCACTTACATATGCTATCACCTAGTTATCTACAGTTTCAGCACTTACGATAGGTTGTCATATTTTCAAGCATGGATTCCCCTAAAGCAGACCTCTACTGCTTTGGCCAGAGCCTGAATAAATTGAAGTGATTCTGGAACCTTAAGTGCCTAGATCAGTTGGGCTTTTTTATTCCTTACGGCATCGTCATGAGGAAGACGTTAGTAAGTGTTAGAGATAATGTATTTTACAAGTGAAGAAATAAGGCCAGGAAGTAACTTGCCCAAGTTCACAAAGCTAATGAGTTGTAGTTCCAGAATAGTCCCACAAAAAGTGTTCCATTTAAAACCACTTATAAAAAATGGGCTTAATCCTGGCTGGTGTGGCTCAGTGGATTGAGCTCTGGTCTGCAAACCAAAGGATCTCCAGTTCGATTCCCCTGGGGCAGATACCTGGGTTGCAGGCCAGGTCCCTGGTTGGGGGCGCGTGAGAGGCAACCACACATTGATGTTTCTCTTCCTCTCTCCCTCCTTTCCCCTTTCTCTATAAATAAATAAATAAAATCTTTTTTTAAAAAAATAAATATTTCCTCACAGTGTGTGTCAAGGGCTGCACGACGATGGGCCTGATTTACTGCAAATCCAGAGAGATTATTTGATTTTTTTTTAAAGGGCCTAATCAAATTTTTTTAAAAATGTTTTTTCTGCCTCCTTCCATTCTCCACCTTTTCTATCTGTTTTTTTCCTCCCAGCTTAGGGATGTTCTTCCCCATGGCCTCTCAGAAGGGGTCTGAGCCTCTATTCTTTTTAAATGCTTTTTTATTTACTGTTGCCTTCTAGCTCCTGAAAAAAATCCCTGCCCATACTTCAAGGACAGTTCAAATGGCATCATTCTCTTATATACTTTTATTATAAAATATTATATTACATCATAATTAACAGCATCTTTCCCTAGATCAAAGCTTCTCAAAATATATTGTCAGACAGTCTCTATCAGAATCCTGTGGGCTACTTTTTTAAAAACAGATTCCTAGACCCCATTTTATACCTAATAAATCTGATTCTCCAGGGTGGGGCATGAGAGCATGTATTTTTAAGTAGCTCTTTCAAAGTAGTCCCTAAACCAGTTTTAAGAAACACTAAGGGAAGAAACTGGAGAGAAGAAACTTCCAGAAGGGAAGAAACTTCCCGGAGGGAAGAAACTGCATTACTCATCTTTGTAAACCAAGCTCTGGAGATTCTAGCAGCTGTTCAGTACATTCAGCAAAAGACCACACCCAAATGGGAGTTAGGGTGCACGGGCTAACATTGTAGAGCAATCCTCTGAACATTTCACATATATTGTCTAACTTAATGCTTTCAACCATTTTAAGAAACTGCCATCCCGTTTACAGATGAGAAAATTGAGACTCAGATCCTTCAGTTAAATTGTAACTGTTCTGTTAAGTTCCAAAACTGTGTTTTTTCCACAGTTATAAGCTAGTCTATGCATTAAGTGGGAACTCATAGTTTTTACCAGGTCCTGGAGAAAAGGCTTAGATTTCAACTCAAAATTCAAGAGCCATCATCCTTTTCACAGTACTCTCTCTTTGCTTCTCCAAGACAAGACCAAATTCAGAACCTGGACAGTGAAAGATGTCCTCAACATATGCTTGTTGATGGTCCCTGAAAGCAAATGGACCTAATCCATCCCGTTCATTTCACCTGTGAAAACCTGAACAAATTTTCTTTAGACTACACACACACACACAAAATGAATAAACATATTTCAAGTCCTCTCAAATCATTTAACTCCTAATGACTGTTTAAAAAGCAATATGGATCACTTGAGAATTGTTTTACTATAAAACTCACTCATTAAATATGCAAATTGTGACTGGCTGTATAATATGTAAGTTTCACATGTATTGGATTAGCCAAAAAGTTCATTTGGTTTTTCCTATAAAATGGCTCCAGTAGCACTTAGTTGTCTTTAATTTCATTCAAAACAATTTTTTTAGATTGTATTGTGACAGCTGTCACCATGCATTTAAAAAAAAATCAAATTGGTAAATTTTTGTGTAACCATTTTAATTTTGAAAATATTTTTCAAAATTACGCTGGAACATTTTCGCGTATTGTGCTATATTATTTCAAAAAAGGTAAAAATGCAACTGAAACGCAAAAATGATTTGTACAGAATATGGAGAATGTGCTATGACTGATAGAACATGTCAAAAGTGGTTTTCAAAGTTTCATGTTGAAGATTTCTCACTGAACGATGCTCTACAGTGGGGTAGACAAGTTGAAGTTGATAGCGATCGAATCAAAACATTAATTGAGAACAATCAATGTTATATCACAAGGAAGATATCTGACATACTCAAAATATCCAAGTCAATAGTTATTGGTGAAAATGAAAAATTTGTCTTTTATTTTATGGAAAAAACGTAATGGACTTTATGGCCAACCCAGCGTGGCAGTCAAGGCTCTTCGTGGCCTGACCTGCTCTTATTCAGGCTCACCTTCCATTTCTGTTCACTGAGTTCACCTACTTACTCTTCACTTTGTTCTTTGTTGGTTTTCCCAAAAAGCACGCTTTGATGGGTCTTCAAAGTCCAGAATCACAGTTTTCTCAGCTGTACTCCTTCTGGGCTCCCAAAATCTTACTCTTATTTTTGTTAAGAACAACTTCTATGAAGTCTTTCCTACCTCCCCCAGGTATTGAATACTCTGTCCACTGTGTTCTTTATATATACCTCTTTTAGAGCTATCTAAATATCTGACCGCCAACTAGACAAAGCAATCTGAGGGCCAAGATGATGACTTTTCACTTTGTATCCTCAGGATCTGGCATACAGTTTACCTTCAGTAAACGTTTCTTAAGTGGAAGGGGAAAATATAGTTCCTGAACATCCTAAATAGGTCTCTAAATATTACAACGCTAAGGATTGATTCTCAGCCTTCAGCTGGTTGCCTTTTACAAGATAAATCATCCTTCCTGAGATTGCCCAGCTGCAGTTGCACAGCTGGGTTGGTTCCTGTGCCCCAGTCTTCACCATCCCTCTGCCATCATGGGGATGTTCATGGTGAATATCAACATGCCTCACACCTAGGTGCCTAACGGGCTCCTCTCCAAGCTCACCCAGAAGCTGGTGAACACCACTGGCAAGCCAGCCTAGTGCATCGCAGTACATGAGAATCCAGAGCACCTTATGGTCTCCCCGTGGCTCAAGCGAGCGCTGTGCACTCTAACATATTATTATGTTATCTTGCAGGTCCAACATAGCACCTGCAAGATTGGCGGCACGCAGAACCCTCCCTACAGCAAGCTGCTGTGTGGCTTGCTGGCCTAGCACATAAACATCAGCCCAGACAGGATCTATGTCACCTAATGCACTAAAAACCGGGCCAACAGCTTCACCTTTGCTGAGGACCACCCCAAGCCACACAGCCAGGACCCATCGTCACCAGGTCCTCATGGCCCGCAGGCCCGCGTGGCCTGCAGGCCTGCCATATTGCGTGCCCCACTTCCCGGGACTCCCATCTCTTGCTCAGGGGAAATAAAC